AATGGAAACAACAATTAGTTCATATATTCTGCATTTATTTTGCAGTGTTGGGGATCAAATCTAGGGTCCTGCTCGGCAAGTGCTGTACCACTGAGCTTCATCCACGGCTGCAGTAGCCAATCCATTTTACCTAACTCCACATTATTTATCAGTGAAAACGTAATTAATACTTAAGCCATTGTTTATTATTCATCAACTTAGGAAAAATTTAATGAACACGTCTAATGCCACTAACTCTGTTGAGCACTCAGATGTCACTGTATTCTCAAAGGGAGGTAAAATTTGCCCAAGTCTAACTTGGAATGTCCAGAGTCTGTGTGAACTCAGACTGTGATTGGATAAAGCCAGTCAAGATGCTGTTGTATACAACAGTGATGCAATGGGAATTTCTTGGTGCCACTCTGTAGCTTTAATTATTGAGTTTTCTGTTATTGCAGAATCCCTTTTCTTGAAACTAACTTGCACACTAATGCCTTAAGACTAAAGCAGCATTTCTTTGCCTGTGTACTGCTGAATCACATGATAACTGATATTCATGTGTTTATCACACTACTTGTGCAATATATACAAAAGCATAGTCACTTGCATACACTTTCCAGATATTAGCTAGAAATCCACACCTTTATTTCCCACTGAAGGAAGAGTATTTGGTAAGATAGAAGTGAGTGAAGGAACTTTATTGTTGGAGCAGCCTTGAATCAGCCCCAATACACAAAGAATAAAACAGTTGCAACCTACAGATGAGATATACTTCATAGAAAATTCCAATTCACTTGAAACTTGTGGTCCTCCTTTTAAGAAACATACTCATAAGGCACACAAGGTATGTTTTCATAGGATATTTCTTCTCCCTGCTCCCAGCATCAGGACTATAGGATGCCACCAACCAGATGTAGCTTGAAAAATGTTGACTTGAAACAAAACAGCAAAACCAAACCAAAGAAATAAAATACCTTTAAGATACACAATGAATAGTGTTAGAATTAATCAATATTTTTGGAGTGTCTTTCTTCCCTTCTCTCTCTCCCTCTACCACAATAACCAACTAACAGTTCTGAGTGTTCCTCTATCTTTACTATTTTCCTTCATCCTTTCAAATTTAACTGTACTCCTTGGGGTACAAAAAGACACTGTCAGCACTGACTGTACTGTTTTACTTTGCTTTCCTAATGTATATTTTAGTTTTGCACTGAGCTTGTTACACTCTCCTGCAGAGTAGCTCCCTCAGGTTGTAAATAATAATGCATTTCCAAGAAAGCTAATTACAGTTAGGGCTGGTTGACACCATTTCCCTTGGGCCCTTGCACCTCAATGCCATTGGTATTAAATGACCTAACTCAGTAGCTTTTTGGTCATAGTTAAGAAGTGGATAAGCATGCTTGACCAACACAAGCTACTTTTGCTAACGTATTGTACATTTAAAATGTTGGATCTCTGAACAGGAAAAAAGAATTGAAGAGACTAGATCATAGAAGTTTCAAGAGAAAAGCAACAAACACGAATTTCAGGCTGCAATGCAGGGTCTAAAGGACATTGGTAATTATATTTCTGTATATCAACACTAATATTGGTATTTAGATATACTAATATCAGTATATATAAAAAGCATGTGTATATGAAGGGAGATGGTAGATAGATAGATAGATACACACTTTATAGGTTATAGAAGGTTTATATTAACAACAAAACTAAAATAGAAAGCATAGGGAGTTCCTATGTATTCCTGTGCCTCCCCTGACACACATTCACACAGCCTCCCAAAATATCAAGGTGATACATTTGTTATACTAATGGGTTGAACATACACTGAGCATATCATTATCAGCCAAAGTCCATAATTTACACTAGAGTTCCTGCTTAGCATTGATAATTCCACAGTTTTTGACAAATGTGTAAGGATACACATTTGTTATCCAAGGATAATGGATACATTACAAAATGTATCCATTTTGTAAGGACATGTACCCATTATCATATCATACATAATAATTTCACTACTTTAAAAATCTCCTATGCTCCATCTCTTCATTCCTCCTCACTGCACCTCCTACACCCTTGCAAATTTCTAGAAGCCACTGAACTTTTTACTATCTCTAATAGTCTTGCCTTTACAGAATGTCATATAGTTGGAATAAAATAGTATGTACCCTTGTCAGATTGTCTTTTTTCACTTGTAATATGAATTTAAGGTAGTGTTGTGATTTTTCAGTTTAGAAAGAGAACAGTTAATACCATTAATACTAGTTAATACCTATTGTGCAAAATTAGTGAGAAATTTTACCTTTTATGATTAAGTAACCCCATTGGTGACACCAAAGAATAAATCCATTGAAATTTCAATTTGAGGAAAATTTTCCTAATAGTTAACATTTCTCAAAGAGTTCATGCAGAAGACTACATTCAAGTCAAAGATAATATAATGCATCCTCCAGAAGTCTTTATTTTACTTGAGGAAACCATTTATATTGAAAAGTCATGGATATATTATGTAATAAAATTCAGACATTTCATTAAGATAGAACAAGAGACTTAAAAGAAATATTGAGCTTATGGAGAAGTGTTTCTAGCTAGGGGCCTTCCTACACTACCCTTAGGAGTAAAAATTCATGTTCCTCCTTTATCAGAAATATTTTGGTGGAAAAACTGTGAAGTAATTCAGAAGGGGCTAAATTTAAGACAAAATACATCACAATAGTTGAATATTGCTTTAGATCACATTTCCTGGAAAGCTGTTATCCCAGGAAGAATCTCTTGCACAGGAGAGAAGGAAAGAGAAATGACCGAGGAAAGGATTGGTTGTGCTGGGAGGCAGTTGCAGCAGGGGACCTCAGCCAATGTGGTGGAGAGCTCTGAAACTGCTCTTGCCCTCCATGAACATTCTCCATTAAAGCTAGGGCTCACATCATCTTGTCCCCAATTCAACAGTCAATGATGAAGCTGTCCATGAGAGAGTTTGCAACTTTTGAGGGCAATTTATGGAGATGAACTAAAGTGTAAACTATCATCCAGTAACATCCCAGCAGGTAGGGAAAGGACACCTTGATATTGAAAAATAATCTGGGAAGCACAAAACAGAATCTACTGTAAGCTCTACAAGTCTGTTAGCTTCCTTGAGAAAAGGGCCTAGAATAAGTAATTTTGAGTTCTTTCAAATAAAAATGCTTCTGGAATTTAATGCAATTGCTACCTCTAAATAAAACAGAACATCTTATTTTTACATATCTATTATAAAGAAAAACTATAAAGGAACACACACACAAAGCATTCTTCATAGGGGCTGGAAAGTATAAGGAATCTGTGTTTATTTTGGAACAAAGAAAATTACTTCCCTTGCTTTTATTATTTTTTCAGAAAATGATAGTAGTTTAGTTCAGCTAAGTAATAAGTATCTACAGTAGTTTCTACAATTACACCATGAACAAAATGTTTATTAAAACTTTTCATCCTTTGGTAAGTTGATTAAGATGAAATTTTAATGCATAAAATGTTTTTCCAAAAATAAAGAATGGCTTTCCTTCCTTAAATGTCAGATTAATCTAATGAAAATAATAAACAGAACCTATTCAGCTAGGGTAAGTAGTTAAAGAGCTAACTATAAAGCTATAGAAATTTATATCCAAATTACTTTCTAACTTTGATTTTAGAATTTGAACACTGGAACATCACAGCCATACATGCTGCTATGATCTTAGGCGGTTAAAATAGAATGTGGCATGAATATCTCATTTCACAGTCATGTGTTTACTCATCCTCTACTTAAATATACTGGTTTCCATGAACACAGACCCCTGAAACAAGGCCACATGGATCTCAGATACTTGACTTTGATAAGAAGGTCAGAGTCAACTACATTCTAGAAACATCTCTACTACTGGGTATGTGGGGAGGGAAAGGAACATCCAAATCTCATTTTAAATGTATATTTATTACACTATCTTTAGGTCTAAGACAAACTATACTCATAAAATCTGTAAATAAAAGTAGTTTAAAATGTAACAAAAACAAAATAAGCTATTCCTCAACTGCTATCTGGCTCTATATTCATGAGTCTATCAGTAATTAATGCAGGAACAAGTCTCATTAGTAATATTCCAGCAAGTTAGTACAATCAGATATTCACACACATTCACTGACCTCAAAAGCATCAACTTAGTAAACACTCAACACTCTTGGCTCATGATTAAGTTTGACTTAATTTATGCTTAAACTTTTTCCACAGAATAGTTTTGCATAATTAAGTTTATTAAAATAGCATTCAGTCTTTGCGTACTTAAACTCTGCAAACTAAGCATCCTCATCTATAAAATGACGTGTTTGGATTTGACTGGTGATTAAGATGGCTCAGACTCCAGTGTGGTGTGCCTATGAAAGGGCATAGCTTGTGTATTTGTTATCTTTGAGATTACCTTTAGAACAATATCATCTTCAATATTCCTTATAATGCAATATTTTCGATAAACTGTGATTCATCTCTACATTAAATATGACATCCTATGACCATTGAGCAGGAATCAGGATCTATGAGAGAAGCACTCTATGAAAGAAACAGCAGAGATAACTTCTATGGCTCCACCCTGTCCAGCGTCTCAGGAGCCAGATTTCTCAGTGGAGTCCCTGAGAGACAGTTATAGTGACGTAATAACAGTTCCCTTAAGTTATAAAATTGCAGGTGTACCATTCCAAAGAATGTAATTTTATTCTTAAATCTGATTTCACAGTCACATTTAAAGAATCTGAATAAAAATATCTTCTTCAATTTGAAAATACCAGTTTTCATGTCAATGGTGCCATTTTAAGAATTCACTGCTGAGATTAAAATAAGACATCCTCTCTAATGACATTGTTTTTGTAGGAGTCATGTTTCCTAATTTTAAATTAACTTAAGTTACCAAAATGCTTCATATTTATACAAGAATGAATATGTCCTAAAATGTTTCAACATTGGACACAGAGTAAACTCTCCTAATGTCAACATGACTTGACTTGCTCTCTATTTTTAGGTCCTGTCACAATACAACCATCACTCTGTGAAGCTGATCAGTTTGCTTGTATCTACACACTTCAGTGTGTCCCCATCTCAGGGAAGTGTGACGGGCAAGAAGACTGCATAGATGGATCTGATGAAATGGGTTGCTCTCTCAGCCCTTCTCCGCTCTGTGGTAACATGGAATTCCAGTGTTCTGCAGATCATTGTATCCCATCCCTCCTGCTGTGTGATGGAGTGGCTGACTGTCACTTCAATGAAGATGAATTTGGCTGCTGTGAGTTATTTTCACTAATTCAGTGTGCCAGGGAAGAAATGCTGTTTTGAAATGATAGCGAGAGCTTGACAGATGAAACAAAGTTCTCTAGAGTCTTACCATGATCGTATCGTCAATAATATACTTTGTGTGTTTGCATATACACCTTGCTATGTTGCTAAAAAGAGCACATAACTCTTGCTTACTATTTTTGAAAATAATAATTTATGGTTACACTAATTTCTGTTAAACTGCTCTTATTTCCTTTTCCATTTACATCTAGGTCATTGTACTAAGGGATGCCCTTATGTATTTATCTTTATAACATAGTTATGAAAATGGTTTGAAGAAGTGGGGTTACAATTTCTTCCCATCTTCAACTATCAGGAAGATGGCTCACGTCAAAGGTTATAGACAGGTACTGATTTCAAAGCATATCTATACAATTACCTGGGTAACTGTCATAGGATATTAAATCCTAAGTGCATAGACTACTTTGCAGTCTTGGAGAACATATTGAGTGCTGCCAATTTCATTTGCATCATCCATGTACTAAAGTCAAAAAAACAATAAGGTTATGAGAATTTGAGCAAACATGTATAAAATCCCAAGCCCGGAATTCAGCACCTTCTATTTTTATTGCAACTAGCCTATGTCATATAGAAGAGGAAACATTAGTTTAAAAGTAATTTCACCCTGTGGTTTCTCATGCCTGTAATTCCAGCTACTTGAGAGATGGAGGTAGAAGGATCATACTTTATAACCAGCCCAGGAAAATCACCAGATCCCACCTGAAAAACAAAAGCAAAAAGTGCTGGAGGCCATTGCTCAAGTGGTAGCCTGCCTGGTACTGCTAAAAATTGAAAAAAAAAAAGATAATTACACACAAATAAAAGTCAGTACCTAATTGTGGTATAGTCTAAACACCACTAAGATGTTATTTAATTATTTGTGTACTTGCTTATGTCTTTATTTTACTATACTATGTTATATTTTTGGTGAGGGCTGCAGCAATAGAAGTCCATAAAACATATGTCATAATCATACTTTTTTGAGTGGTAAAAATCATTTGAGGGTTTAACTATAGAAGTGAAGCACCAAAAGAATTATAAGGCATTTCAGGATCTCAATTAGTTGGGCCTCTAGCATTATGATGACTTTTAGCAAAGAAATACAGATGAATGAAAAAAGGGAAAGCCTTTGGTTGTTTAAATTCTTTTCCTTAAATCGGTGACATTCTTCCTGGTTTAGGCATAGAGATTTGTTTTCTGCCTCTCTGTTATTTCCTATTTAGATATTCTCTCTGTGTTAAAAAAAACCAACACAACAAATTGTCAGGTCTTATAATTTTTTCTTAGAGGTGAAGTAAGCAAATGGAGGTGAGTCAAAAAGAGAAACCTGCCAAATTACTTTTCCCTGTTCCCATTAGGACTCTAATGTAATTTGGCTGACAGCAATAATATTAAGTTCAATATAGTCACATGATATTTGGCTTCAAATAGGAATGTTGTTTAAAGAGAAGATGAGGAAACTATTGTGTCCTTTCAGGCATTCATGAAAAGTTGGAGTTCAACTAGTTAGTCATATGAACTTCTATTCCTGTAGGAAATAGGTGCACATTTGAATGAGGGTAGAACAAAATGCTACAGCAAAATTACAGAATAAAAGAATTCAATGATCACAATTCACCAAATACCTGAAGGTATAATAGTTTATTTCCAGGCTCCCCTATTCATTTAGAATGGTATTTTGTAAACTCGCATTCATTCATATAAACATTCATTCATAAATCTTCATTAGGAGCCTAATGGATGCTGCATATTTTATTGGGCATTGATGATAGAGATGGACAGGAAAATGAATTATAAATCACTGAAAGAGACCAGTAAGTGAAAGTTGGGAAGGCTGTAAGTTGATTTCTGTTAAGGGATAAACACATGGTGTTATAAAGCACACAAGGTACTTTCCAACTGTCGTACTACAGTCTATAAATTTAAACAAAAAAAGTGACTGCAGAGCCAGATTGGGAAGACAAGTAGATAGTAGACAAATAAAATAGAAATGCATGATTCAAGTGAGAAATGTACCAGGAAAAAAGAATAAGTCCTTTGAGTGAAGCACATTTTGTATTACTAAAGCAAAGTCTGTAAGAAATGTAGAAAGAATTCTGGAGAGATAAGCAGTGACCACATCTTAAAATGTCCTCACTCATCATGCCAGTGCTACACAACTGTGTTTCAGCAATATATGGAATGGATTGGAGAGGGAAAGGGGGACTAATTACAAGCTGGAGTTCAAATATAAGAGGGTAGATTATATGGTGTGTGGCAAAGATTATGAAGAAATTGAAGAGATAGGTAATGAGATAGAGAAAGGAATCAAAAGTGACTTTCAAGTTTCTTATTTGGGCATGATACAGTTAACGTGCTATTGATTGAGCTGGGAAAATAGAGGAAGATTGCAGCTTCTTTTTTAGATGTTATATTTGTGGCCTGTGATGCAGCCATGTGGACATGTTTTGAATGTGTCTGGAAATGGATATGTGGAGTTCAGGAGAGAGAAGAAGCAAGACATGTAAAAGTATATGGCATCAACATAAGATGACCAATTCTGTGTGTAGATAAGATAAAATGAAAAAAAGATAATGTCCATAGATGGAGAGTCAATAACCCTGAAGATACAGGTAGCGTAGATAAACTTAAAACACTGAAGTTGGAACTAGTTTGTATAAACAACTAATGTCTCAGGAGAGGATAATCTTTAAGCTTAAATCATGTTAGGATATACTTTGACAAGATAAATTCCACTGAAAATCAAGCAAACTAGGAAATTTGGGGTGCAGCTCAGCAATAAAATATTTGTCTGGCATGCAGGAGGTCCTGAGTTCAATCCCAGTACCACAAAAAGGAACAAATATGTATAAAAGTGCAGTATGTGCGACTAAGGATATGTAACCATTTTTATTAAAATGGAATGTCATGTGTGTAGCAGATTGATATTTCTAACACCAGAGTAATTGTGGTCCTGGGGCATTAGAATGAAGGCTACCAGACATTCAAGGTATTTGCAAATCTTGTACAGAGCTAGTATAGACATTTATTCTATACTTGAATTAAATCCAATGACAAGACTTATTGAAATAGCTTAGTAGTTTAAATTTTCAATTAACCTATAAAATAATTTAATGAGGAATGGATAATAATTTATTACTAATTTCATATCTTCTTCCAAGAGCACTGTAAAATAGAATTATTTAGCATGTTTTCAATGTAGAATAAGCTGAAGATTCCTGTGGTAAGGAAAGAAGCTAGAATTTTCAGAGAAAAAATCTTTATCATTTCACAGTATTATAGCATGCTGAAATCATAATTAACACACTTAAAGGCCAATACAAAAATATTGATAAGGGTTTATTTTCAAATCCAAGGAAAATGAACTATTCCCATATCAACAGAAATAACACTTAGCCTCAAGAGACACATCAGCTACTGGTGAGATGTGTGTAAACTACCTGTCTCTCTTGCAGTTCTATTGAACACTATTGGATACTTCCTTTATGCTTCTCCTGATTCCTTCTCTGCCATCTATTCTTACCCCGAGTCCTGGATGATTGAACTATAAGGATATATCAGACCTCTTTAACCCCCAGAACGTGATTGAGTTTGGCCGATGGGTAGCACCAGTAGCAGATCAATAAGAAGTGAATGTGAGATCAGCATGGATCACTTGCTTGCTTTAAACAAATGCCACGTCTTTTCAAAATTTTGCTTTTAATTTTAAATTGACATGTAATAATTGTACATATTCATGGGGTACAGGGTAGAATTTCAGTACATTTATACATGTGCAATGATCAGATCAAGGTAATTGGCATATCTATTACCTCGAATATCTATCATTTCTTTATGCTGAGAACATTCAAAAATCTTCTCCACTAGCTATTTTGAAATGACTAATGTCATCCATAGGTTTTCTACTATGCTATAGAATCTTAGAAGTGATTCTTCCTATCCAAACAGCACTCATGTACCCATTCATTAATCATGATCTCTCCATCCCTTCCAACTTGCCTTATCTAATGTCCCCAGTTTCATCCTTTGCTCTATGGTTAATAAAAATCCCTTACTCTTACTATCACTTGTGGCTTTTCCATGCATAGAATTTCTGTAATAAAGAATGCCTTATTAACATATAGACTCAATTTATGTAATATCAATTGGTCACCAATTTCTTTACAGGATATTGACTGAAAAAATGTCTGATGAAACCTTTCTGATAGATTGCTATCAAAGGAGTATCAGTGAAAAGAATAGTCTTACTGTGTGCTGTTGTTTCATATAATTAACCATGCTTTTTGTTATTGTTGGATAAAAGACATATAATTTCAGTTTGCAAAAAATTTACATTCTTCCAAAAGAAGGACAATATTAAAATGAATTATTGTGATGTTGAATTCATCACAAACTTGTCTGAACATTCTGATCACTAGAAAGTTTTTACGCAAGAGTAAAAGGCCTTAAAACATCAATTGCTATTGATTTCCCTAACTGAAATTGTAAACATCTCAAAATCTTTGTTCCTACAACATTTAAACAAGTATGAAACATTCAAAATTCCTTTACCCTACATCCCACTCCAATGCCAACTTCTTAAAAGGATAGTCTACAATTGATTCTCTCTTAGCCATTTCTCATTTGCTTTACAAAAAAGATTATTTTTAGACTTCTACCTTCTCTCCCACTGAAAATTCGCTCTCCAAGACAGACATAAATCACTTCCTTTCCCACTTGTCAATATTCCTGACAGGCATCAGAAAAGATATTTTTCTAATATAGCCAAAGTCTTGTGAACATGGTATTGCTAGCCTATTAATATGCCTGTCCCTTGAAGTAAAAGCATACTCTGCTTATGACCCTCAGAAAAGGACTCTGTAAGCAACACTATACTGTATAGTGCATGGTCACAATGCCAGAGAGGCATAAAATTGCAGCAAAATGAGCTTCAGTGACCCACATCATCAGATCTAGCAGGTACCCAGTGACCATCCATGGCTTTATGCCCCAGCTGGAAGGTGAAGATTCAAACAAGTTGCAATATTTTTCAGTTCACTTGTATTTAATGTCAGGGACATTAGGAAAGCAGAACACAAAGATATCTGCCTTGAAGTGAAAGTTGACTCCCTTTCCAAAATCAGCTCAGACTCTGTAACACATAAAATGCATTTTATTACATGTAAAATACAACATATTCTGCTTGAGCTGCCATAACAGAATACCTCAACTGGTGGCTTAAACAATGAAATTTGTTTTTCTCCCAGTTCTAGAGGCTGGACATCCAAGATCAAGACATTGACAGATCTGAAGTCTCCTTAGGCCTCTCTCCTTGGCTTGTAGATGGCAACCTTCTCACTGTGTTCTTCATGGCCTTTTCTGTAAACATGTACATGCTGCTGTCTCTCTTTTCTTGTAAAGATATTAATAACATTGGGTTAGGACCTTACCCTGATGACTTTGCTTAACTTTGATCTACTTCCTTACAGGTTCTATCTATAAATACAGTTCCATATGGGTTGAGACTTCAACATCCATAAGAATGTATATTTGAGAAATGACTCCATAAACTATTTTTTTTGCAGAAAATTTCAAGTTAATTAAATTTTTTCCAAAAAACTGTCTTCTAAAATATAGGACTAGAAAAAGTAAAGGGTCAGGCAGTAAACTCTCTTATTATTTCATTATGAGAGATTCAATGAAAAAAGCTGTGCTACCAACCATTATCATTATTCTTTTTTATAGCCAATAAGAGCTGTTCTGAAAGAGCTCTGGTGTGCACTTCCTCTGACAGCTGCATCCCAGTTCACCAGCGTTGTAATGGTGTGGCTGACTGCATGGATTTCCAACTTGATGAGTCTAGCTGCTCAGGTATTCCATTTCCATTTAAATATTCTTTGCAATATAAATGGGTATCTCAACCTGCAGAAAATAAAAGTAATAAAAATTGACTTTCTAAATAATAGCAAGTATGAAATAATTGAATTTCTATCATTGGTTTGGAAGTAGGAGGAATATTGACATTAATTGCTACATTTATTATAAATTTATAAGTACATAAAATAGTGGACTTTTGCTTATTCAACACAGTGTTTGCTAAACAAAGTAAAACAACATCCAATTTTACTTTAATACAATCTAACTTAAGATTATAGGTACTTAATAGTCTATGAAAATTATTTGGTTTTTCTAAGAAGGAAACCCTATACAATCTGATGTTAATTTTGAAGGAATTGCACTTTTTCCTACTTCTTCATAAGAGCTCCCTATTTGCATGGTCTAGTCATATATTTTAAATTAAATTTATTCAACTTTAGTTAACCTTTAAAGATTTTCTTTCTTCTGACCTTGGAACATTTATACAATATAAGAACTGTTAATATATGTCAGTGATTTTACATTATCAAAACTGTCTTAAAATTCCCTAATTTATTGTGGTCCATGGTTGACATCTCTCCTCAGTAACTGAATTTTTATTTCTGCAGGAGATATATAAAAGAACAGGTGGTTAGGTGCCATATAACTATGCCATAAGTAAAAGATAATATAAATCACTAATAAAAGAGATATTCAATCCTATTTTCTAAATAAATTGGAAGTACTTTGTGTCAAATATAGGTAAAAATTTACTCTTTATCTTATAATGTAGAAAGGACATTATGAAATATGACAAAGGCATGATATGACAATCAAATCATAGAGCAAAAATGCTTATTTTTTATACTACTAGATGTGAGCAGAGCTGGTTCCATGAAATATGCAAAGATAATTGCCAAAAGTGTTCTTCATTATTTCTCTCCTAAGCATCCTTAGACTTCAGATTATGCACTTAAAAGGAAATCCTGTTACACTCTTAAAGAGAATAAGAGTGCTAGAAGTAAGGTAGTTCTATTCATTGAAACTCTGAAGACACACCACTTTTGTCCAGTACACACATTTATTTACATGAAGGTGAGATTTTCCCTCAGGATAGTCCTTTATGAGCACAAATCATAACATTTATGACTTATTGCCTAATTTTTATGAACTATCATTGAAAACAGTGTCAGAAAAATAGAAGACTTGTACTCATCCTGGATGATAAATCACCTGCAATAATGCTAGAAAACACATATGTGTGGTTTGTCTCATTTCAGTAAGGCACCCATCATTTATGGTTGACTTGCAAAGTAACACGGTTATTGGGTTACCATAAAAGAAAGAAGTAAGGACATGTGGTCTTCAGAAATAAAATCTGTATTATATTATGCTTTCTCTATTTACATTTTGTATGCTGTTTGGCATTTCAATCAAATATGATGAAGTCAATGGTTCTGATTTGAAGAGTGCCTTTAAGACTGATCCATGCTAAAGATTTGTCAGTGTATATTATACAGTCTTCTTTCTTTCCAACTATCATGTTCTTTTAAGGTCAGCATTTCATATAGTTTGATGAGCCCACAGTTTATAGCATCCAAATGTCCCCACAATTGCTACACACCAGATGGCAAGCATTTGGTTTCACCTACCTTGGGGTTTAAGCCATTAGCAAGATGATCAAGCTCAGGCAGGTTAAGGTATTTCAGTGAATCCTATCCATTCCTAAGTTATATTAGAAAGGTATATTATTTTCAAGTTTGGCCAGAATTTGCCTGGATAAATGTAAACTGGAAGTTTACATTCTAGTTGCTTTCAGTGGCAGAGGTTACTATAGATTAAGCTAAGGTAATATGATAATTGTGATAATCTCCACAGGAAGAGAAATTAGAAAAGGCATTAAATATAACATGTAGGATATGACATTATGAATATAATTTCATTTATGTAATGGACGTTGATGATGCAGCTCTGTACTGATGCTGATGATATTAGCTTAAAAAGGTTCAGAAGAGCTTAAAAACAAAATGGCACAAAAATCTTCTACTGTGAGCCTATAATCCTTCTATAGTTCCTGCACTGGGATTTCAAGATTTAAAAAAGAAAGAAAAATTTTCTAAAGCTGGAGGCATGGTTCAAGTGGTAAAGCTCTTGACTAACAAGCACAAAGCCCTGAGTTCAAACCTACTGCCAAAAATAATCATTTTTATCCACTAGAGAGGTGATTTGTGAAACAAACTCTTCTGGTGGAGTCCTAGAATCCATACATCTCTCCAAAGTATACACAGACTGTTGTGTATATGCATAGTTATCTTGATAGTGCACAGATACTATGTACTTCAAAGGGACTCTTGAGCCCATGATATCAACAAGTATTAGTTATAGAAATTCAGAACTAAATACCAAGTCATTTGACATTTTTAGAATAATAAACTTCAGAGGAAAATGACCAAGATTTAGTTGTAGTTTGCATGTTAATTCACTATTATCTCAAGAAAATTATGTTGACCACAGGAAGTCTTAGTTTTCTCTTCTGAAAAATGAAGATGATTGTGGTATATGCTATGTAATGTTATAAGAGCTAAGTGAGGTAACATGTTACTCAGTACAGTCCCTAATGTATAACAAGCCTTCTGTAAAAGATAGAGTGAGGGAAAGAAAGAAGGAGAAGGTGAGAGGCAGAGAAATGGTAATCAAATTCAGTCCCTCAGGTGATTCAGAAACTCCCTCCAACAAATATAAAGATGAGAGATGAATGAGCACAATTATTTAATGCCTTATACATGCAATTCACTAGTGTAGAAAAGTTACAAACAAATTTAATTTCCTTCTCCCAGCAGCCCTATAAGAAGTGATATAATGCTTATTTTATATATGAAGAACTTGGTACTTTAAGTCCCAAAGCCACACAACTCATAAATGTCTGAGCCAGGTATCACAGAGGGAAAATCAGGGCTCAAATGGTTATCCATTTTCCCAGCAACTTCCATGCAACAGCTATCATTTTTAAGCTTCTCTATATATTAAGATTTCTTTTATATAAAAAAGGGTGTCTTGTTACATATTTAAGCCAATATATATAGAGAGAGACATTCCCTGATATATATACTCTGGGCCTGTATATTTCCAAGTTTCTCTCATGCCTTCTTCATATTAACAATCCAGCCAGAGTTGACTTCCTCCAGTCAAATATAGCACATTCTCCTCTCATGCCATCAGATCTTTGTGTTTAACTTTACAACACACTACTGCCCAAATAAATGCTTAAGCGTCTCCTATAGAGACCTTTTCCTTACTTCCCAAATTTGGTTGAGGCATTCTCCTTACTGCTCCTAACAGAATGCTGTCCATCCTAAGAGATTATTTTTTATATAGTATTGCCTTGCTTCCTCATTTGGCATCTGCCATGAGGCTGAAAGGTCAATGACAGCAAAGACCATGCCCCTATGTCTTTTTAGTCATTATTTGTTAAACATCTATTATCAGCTAGGTAATCTCCAACATTCTCAACAACCCTAAGATATAAATATTATTTTAACTCTGTTTTATAGAGAGGAAACTGAAGCACAGGGAAGTTAGCTACCTTCCCTGATATTACACCACTGATAAGTTGAGCTAAGATTCCTATTCAAACAGCTGACTCCAGGACCTGAAGCCTTACAAACCATATTAGGCTGCTTGCATTATTATTACATTTCCCATGCTTAGTTCAGTGCCAGACATTTAATAAGCAATCAATAAATTTGTTATATTTGAAAATTAAAGGCAGTGAAAATTTTCATAAAGTTTTGGAATTATGATAGCCCAACAAGGAAAGAATGAACCCTGCAAGAAAGGAGATGATATGAAAGCCAGGAGGAGTGGGTTTGAACTTTAAGTAAACAGGAAACTTGGCAGGCCTCAGGATAAGGGTTGTGTGGTAACCATACAAGGAGGATGTAAATGTATGTTCCACAAAGAGCTAAAAGTCCTAACCACAGTAGAAGCTATGTGAAAATATTTAGTTTCCTTTTAACCTAGAAGTGCACTGCCTTTGAAAATAAATGTTGGGGGAAGGGGGAAGAGGGAAAACTGATGCAGGGATAAATCTAAACTATATTGTAATCACATATGTAACTATTACAAGGTATCCCTGGCACAATTATTTTATGGTAATAAAAACAGAAAATAAATGTTCACACTAAATAAGAACTAGGGAGTGAAACAATAGGACCCAGGGCAAAGGGGACAAACTTGAACTATGCTGACACTGTCAGGACGCAGAAGTCAGAGATACAAATGCACATGAGTAATTTATTTCATTCAAAAGAAAAGACCACCCATGCAAAACATTACTCTGCCATGATGTAACTATTGTGTGGAACTAAAGAAATGTTTCAGCAAGCAAAAAAAAAGTCAGAACAATCACAAATATGTCATCCAGACACATTCTAAATAAGTAGATTGTACCTAATCCAGTGGACAGAAAGTCTCTTACAGTGAACTACTCAGGCTCCCAAAGGGCATGAGCCCATCTGTGACAGCAGGGGCCACTGACCAACTTGGAGAGGTACAGAAAAAGTATCCTAGGAGAGTGTTTTTGCATTTAGCACCTAAAAAAACATTTTTAAACTCAGAGATTAAGCTTAATGCAATAACTAATAACTAATAGTAATATATCCTCCTTCTTCCTAGTAATACCATTGACTGGTCTTTGTGATGCTTCTTTTTAGAGTGTCCAGTAAGTTATTGCAGAAATGGTGGGATATGTGTGGTGGAGAAAAATGGTCCTATGTGTCGGTAAGGAATATTACCTATTTTTAAAATATTTATTGAAGCTGACTTATTTATTTTACTTGCTGTTGATATAACAGAGCATAAATCAATATATAGTTACAAATGTAAAGATAGTGGCTAATGGCATTATTGCATTTATCTGTGTGCCTAAAAGCAAAGGAGATGTGAGTGTATTTCAAAAATATTGACTGTTTAATGTAGTTTTTACATGGTTTTCAACATTTTCTATCATGTGGAATATATAATTTTAATAATACTCTTTTTCCTTACTTTTAGTGTTTATGTCAAGGTTTCAAAAGATTTTTTTCTGATAAGGAAATTCTATTGCAGATATAGGAGGATTCGTATCTATATTTTCTTTCTCTTTTTCATGTTAAATTCCATATTTCTCTTTTCTAACAACAAAGGATAAAATTTATTCATAAATAAAACCATTTTCTGGTTTATGCAATGAATGTTTGTGAGTAAAATTAAGGTAAAGATAAGAACAATATTTTGCATACACAAAGCAAGCATAAACAAAACAGGCCTTGTGGTTTCTTTTGGGAATTACTAATAATGCATATCAAAGATTGCTTCATTTTTTTCTATCTTACCCTTTAGAGAATTGTGCAAAAAGTTTTATAAACTCCAAAGGAAATGATGCATATTCCATTCTGGTTGTGTTTATGACTTTTTAATCTAGCAGGCCAATGGATAAATTACTTTTCTTATTAGGAAACCGATTGAAGATTGATATTCAAATCATACCAAAGACACATAAAAATCTGGAAAACACTGGTTAATACCTACTTAAATATTTATATCCTTCAGAGTCAACAATCATATTTTAGAAAAAGTAATTTATTTCTAAAAAATAAATAGCTACCAATTAAAATACAAGATTTTGATGATGAGATATGTTTAGATACAGCTTTGACATTGTTGAAATTGAATTACTAATCAGCTTCTCAAAGTCTTTTGTCTCTCAAATTCATTATGTTATTGATCTCACATCTCGACAACATTATACTTTTCTCCCTATTGGACTGCATGGAAGTTAATTTAGCACAAAGTGTCATTTGATAGAAAGACAGGATGCATAATATTAATTGCTAAAATCTCCTGAAAGAGAGAATGATGGCATAAGTAAGGTTCATTGACTGTCATCTAAGTGGATAATGTAATTTAATGTCAACAGTTTACAGTAAGAAGCTTTGTATTTTTGTCCTATCTAACCCTGTTAGGTCAGAAATCCCTTGGGCCTTAAATAATCTCAGCTGAGCAAGCAAAGAGCTTTGCATTCTTGGCCCATCCACAAGTACTTAAATAAACATCAGCCATTGAAATCCAGATGGTGGAGAACTAAATTTGTTTCATTTCAATAAGAAAATGAAGGTGGGAGAGAAGATATGACAGAGGATCAAGAGGAGGATGGGACTTAAGAAAGGAAATCAATGGAGCAAAATGTAGGAAGGAATTTACTACCAGGGAAGTCACTGAAGTATTCTATTATTTTTGATATCAAATGATGCTTGTGAAAGAAGGAAATAGTTGTAACAATCATTTTTACAAATGCTTGGGATTAGTGCTACCTACACTGTAAGTATGAAAGAATTACTTTTGAAAAGTTTCCCATGTTATTATAATAGGGTAGTAAAATTTTGCTTCTTTAAATTTTTGTACTGTAAAAGTGACATTTGTGCATTTAATAAATGTATCCAGCAAAAAGTAGAGTTACCCAACTCTTAAGTCTTACTCTGTAGTAGCATGGTTTATATCCATTTAAATATGTTTTCCCTTCACACTGTATATTCATACATAAATGAATACATTTTACAGAAATGGAAATATAGTTCACACATCACTTTGCACTTTGATTTTTTTTTCTCTTCATGAAATACCATGGCTGTTCTATGCTGGTGTGTAGATCTACATGTACTCGTTATTGGCTATGTAATATGGGATAAGTTTCTTAATCTTTCTGTGTTTTAACTTCATATTCAGTAAAATTGAGAGAATGATAGTACCTACTTCAACAGGTGGTTGTGAGTTTTTCATGTAAAACACTCTGACCAGTGTCCTATATGCAAAATATTTTACAGAATGCTAGTCATCAGTACTGCTATATCATTCTTTTTTATTAACTATTTTTGTAGTACTAGGGTTTGAACTCAGGGCCTTTATGCTTAACAGTCAGGCACTCTGCCACTTGAGCCACACCTTAAGTCCTTTTTGATTTCATTATGTTTTGAATAATATTTCACATTTTGTTATGCGGTCCTCCCATTTATATCTCCCACATAGCTGGAATGATAGGCGCACATCACCACCCATCTTTTTTCCTGGGTTGACCTTGAACTGTGATCCTTCCTGTCTTCTACCTCCCCAGTAGCTAGGATTACAAGTATGAACCACCATGCCCGGCTTCATTCTTTGCTATGATGTTTAGCATACAATATTTAATATATGTATTTGTCATAATTTAAGCTCATTAATATGTTTCATTCTTAAATGCTTGATTTCACAAATATACATCAACACCTATTCTTTCATTACCATTGCTCCATCTCTTATTTTAAGCATAACATATCTTGATGACATTTCTAAATAGCCTAATTTGCAATTACAGTTAGCATCTTTCCTGTTTGGATTTAAGGTTAAATGAAAAATCAATTCTAGAATATATATTTTATTTATTTATTTATTTATTTGGCAGGACTGGAGTTTGAACTTAGTATCTTATCCTAGCCAGGTACCTCTACAATTTGAAATATGTCCCCTGTCCCCCTCTCCCACTTACCTCTTTTGTTTTTATTTATTTATTTTGTTGTCTTTCAGATAGGTTCTTGTGTTTTTGCTCAAGGCTGCCAATCATCTTATCTATGTTTCTCACATTACTTGCACTACAGTCATGTCCCATCAAACCAGGCTTGTTAGTTGAGATAGGGATCTCACTCACTTTTTGACTGGGCTAGCTTAGAACTACTATTCTCCTGATCTCCACCTCATGAGAAGCTAGGATTATGGCAAGAGCCACTGTACCCAGCCTAGACTACATAGTCTGTTGGGTGCTGTGGAAAGGTGTGACTTTATCTCAAGTTCAACACTTTCATACCCAAGAGTGAGTTTCCTTTTCCTTGTCACCTAGATAAGCCAAAGAGCCAAGGAGGGGAGACCAAAGAGCACCTTTTATCCAGGAAATTCATGGTTTCCTCAGGGGACCTATCAATAACACCTTTAGATTTATCCCTTGAGAAAGTGACCGCCAGGTGGCAACTCTAAGATCCCAGAGCAGAGAGATTTTATTGGATCATCGGGCTAGTGGGAGTTTATAATTATTCACAGGAGTGGAAAACACTAGATGACCCATGGTTTTCCATTCCTTGAACACCACCAAAACCAGGACGTGTTTGAGGGCTAAAAATGAAAACTGGACCAAAAAAAGAAAAAAATATCTCTCTCTTAAGGAAGCAAGATTCTTACATTATTTTGGCATATCAATATGTCTGTTAGAAAAATAGACTGAGTTATGTAATATAAATTCCAACTATTATGGAAACCAGGAAAGAGAATATAAGAACGAAAAGAAATAAGTTATCATGGGTAAAGGAGAGAAATAGGAATCAGTATCAAACAAAGTACATCAGAAAAATAGTAGAAAGAATCCACCAAATATATCAGTAATCACAATAAATGTAAAAATTTAAAAGTCAATAAAAACACAAAATGTCAAAGTGAGATATGTATATCTATACATAGAATTTTATCTACTTATCATATATGTGTTTAATTTTAAATGAGAAAAATACCTGGAAGAAAAACAACATAAGTAAAATATAAGAACAAAAAGATTTGGCAAATGAAATAAAATTAAAATGTTGTGACCTGGTGAAAATCAAAAACAAAAGCCCAAATTATAATATAAACATTTTAAAGGAGAAAGACTGTGGAATTTAAATAAACACTCTAAAAAGTTACAATAGGCAAAAGTCTTAGGTATCAAACAATACAGTGACAAAATACAGAAGGCAGAAATACTTAAATATTCTCAGTAATTAAAACAAAAAATAATACCCAAAATAAAGACAAAAATCTTATTCACAAATTCATACACACACATCTCAAGTCATTTCATTACTTTGTTTATAATAGCAAAGAATGTGTGTCATTCTTATATCTATGGAGCACATTGATGTGTTATCAGGTGTTTGACTAAAAAGAGCTGGGAGTCTGGCTCAAGTATTAGAGCCCTTGCCTAGCAAGAAGCCCTGAATTTAAATACCATTACTGCCAAAAGAAAAAAGCTCTAATAAAATGTTATAAATTTTTATTCAGCCAATTCATATTATCTGGGTTACCTTAAAATATAAAAGGCAATAAAAAATGGCAATTTGGCAATTTCTCATTTTTCATCTGTAAGATCTGGCAGTATTTGAGAGTAAATCACTTTCTCTTCAAAAAAAATGGTCATGTTTTTGATACCTTTTCATTATAAGTACCTGAATACCTTACAACAGTTATTGGAATAATGTGCTGACTGAAATTGAATGAATGAATACAAATGGAAAGTCTTGAAATTTCAAGGAAAAACATCATTACATTAGAATATGTTCTTACATGTATTGAGATAAGAACTAATGATCTCACCATAAGCCAAACTAATTATCACAAATGAATTGTTGAGGAATTTCTAGGCATGCAGCAAGCATACAGTGTGTCCCTTACAATAAAAGAAATAATACAAAGAAAACAAGCCATCAATTAAAGAAAGACCAGTTTGCTACAATGACAGAAGAGGGTGCTCTTAAATTAAGAATATTGTAAACTACCTCAAATTCCTAACCTTAGCCATAAAAATGAAAAATTGACTGCAATTTCTATTTGTACAAAATTACTATCAAAGAAAAGGCTCAACTTTTGAGCTTTTCCTAGCAGGTTTTCTCAGTCTCCCTTCCTTTCTTTTGATCCAAAACAGAAAATACTGAAACTTTAATTCTAAATAGGATTAAATATTGTTTTTG